TTCCGACACGTCCATCATTCATAATTCTAATTAAAAACAAAAACACCAAGTATTTCATAAGGAAAGGAAACACAGGTCGATTAGCTGAATTCTAGACAGGCGTTACTCCTGGTTGGACCCACCTCAACTGAGGCGGCAATACAATTTGGATATCATCTGTCTACCATCACAAAATTGGTCGCAGTGAATCAACAGACAAACAGTGTCAAAAAGAATTTAGCAGTTCAGTCGACAGAATTCATGATTGTCTGAGGGTTGTTTGGATGGTTTCTTGTCTAACGCTGCCCTCAGCAATATTCCAGCTATATGGCGGCGGTCCGTAAATAATCGAATCTGGACCAGACGATCCAATAACAGCATGAGCATCGTTCTACGCAATTGGGATACAATGACATGTGTGAACTAAGTAAGCGAGCCTGACCACCCGATCCCGTTAGTCGCCTCTTACGACAAGCATGGGTTGCTGAAGACCATTTCTAACCCGGACCTTCACGTGTTTTGTCTGAGGGATGTGGTGCCCCGTACTGATTCAACGTCACTGCAAACTATATATCCAGTGTGGGGCGATGGGGTAGCCTAGTGGTTAAAGCGTCCGCTCGTCTCGCTGAAGACCCGGGTTCGATTCTACACATGGGTACAATGTGTGGTGTTCACCATCGTGATATTTTTCACTCACTCACTCACTCACTCATTCATATATCCAATGAGCCCGAGAGCACCTGAGCTTTCGACGACAAGAGTGACAACACTGCAGCTTAAATAAACATTGGGTTAAACATTGTGTTCATATTTTATACAGGTATGCATATGGGGTTGGGGTTTACAGAGATTTTAACAATATTCCAGCAATATCACGCCGGGGAACACCTAAAATGGACTTCTCATGCTGTACCCATGTAAGGAATCGAACCTCGGCCTTCTATGAACCCTTTCAGCACTAGGCTACCCTACTGCCCCTACAGGAATTCATGACGAGGCGGAATAGGGGACGCTAAAGTTAATACGTTGTAACCACCAATTTGACATTCGGGACTGTCAGATAAGACCTAATTAATTCATTATATCCTGTGATTGTGATGAGGTGTGTATCTGTTCCTTTCAATATAAATGAGTATGGGTATTATACGACCGCTTCGTGTGATTCAACACAGGATTACCTCCCTTCGTAAATGTAAAGCATCAGGTTTTGGTATTCGTGAACATTTGCCCAATGAGGGACATACAGATATGACATTAAATCAAGAGAAATGAAAGGGTCACTATGGAGCATAGTTTACTTGTCTGCGTGCAATGTGTAATATCCTGGTATCCCAATGGAGCAAGTCGATGCTCATGATGTCGATCACTGATTTAAACTCAATTATTATATCATTTGGATTCAATATTCAAGGGAGTGGTGTGATAATCAAAGAATGGAGATACATTTCATATTTTAGTGTGCTTGTTTTTTAAAGTATCTGTTACATTAACTTTGTATTGCTAATAAGGATAGATACAAAACCTATCATAATTGTGAGTTGTCAGGTGCATGTGCAGAAAATTCGACAAATAAAGGGAGAGAACTCGCGTTATCGTGGTTTATTACATGGTAAACATGTATTAGGCAAAACGATCGGACCTGAAAACATTGATGAAATTTGTAAGTTAGAAAGTGAGATATTCGCAGATTATCACATTTTGGGGTGAGCATTAAAGTTCGCAGTCTTTGACACACCCTATCACCGATCAGTTTGACTCTTTTGAGTGGCACAAAGTTCTTCAAACCTCACCAATACATGTACCTGTTTTAGGTTTTGGATTAACTTCCTTTGATATGCTCATTTTACGAGGCATTATATTTGGAGTGTTACTAAGTGAGTGTGTTCGTCATCGTGTGAAGTAGGCCCTTGAACCATCACCAGGAGCAGGATCTGTTACCGGAGATTATTCTGAGACTGCAGTTTGTAATCACCTTCTCGTCAAGTGAATGTGAATAAGGTTGTGTCCATTCCTTGTGGAAACAAAATGTATTTTGTAAACTAGACACTTTAATATAAAATGCAGCTCTGCTATGAAGAAATATGTCAATTTTGTTCACTGAAACTGGACCGAGTGAGTGTTGAGTAGTACGTGGAGGAGGATCTAGAACCATCACTAGGACCAGGACCAGGACTTTGCTCGTATCAGGACTGTGCAGGGTCTTCTACTGAACGGCACACAGGAACAGTTGCAGTATTCATTTATCTCCAGGTCCGTGTGACAGTATTGTGTGAATGCTCTAGATGTTAGTCGTTGATAAATAATATTCCAGATACATTAGTACACGGGTAGGATGTACGTACTCACTACTCAAATCTCGACAAAGCAATCTAGCGGAAGGTACAATGAGCAATGATTCGTAATGTCGGGATACAATGACACACCATCAACTCATTTAATCCTTTTACTCATACGACCAGAAACTATTGAAACCCTCTTATGACATGGGGTGATACATTGAATGTTGTAGCACTTATGGAAGTAAAGTTAATAGTAAACGAAACGTCAAACTTTCAAAAACCAAAACATATCTGCATACAGTTTCTCAACCTATCGGAAAGATATTGTTTTATGGGTAAAACAGGGTAATCTATCTTGTTACACTTGTTCTACTTAAAAATAGTGAGTGAGTGAGTTTGGTTTTGCGCAATATTCCAGCAATATCACAGTAAAGTACACCAGAAATGGGCATCACAAATTGTGCCCATATTGGGAATCGAACCTGGGTCTTTAGCGTGCCGAGCGAATCACAAGGCTACCCAACCGCCCCTCTACTTAATAGAACATAGGACGGGCATATATTGTTCTTCACACTGAACACTTCTATAGCTAAATGGATAGAGCGAACGATCGATGTATCACATGTCTTGTATATTTATCATCTAAGTCCAAAAGAACATCCAACTATAAACATAAGATTTGTCCAAGACGTGCAAGTGTATTTGGCGTAATACATGTACAAACATGGAGTGTCTTAAGGCAACGGTTAGACTGATTGAAGTGTCGTAAAATTACGAAGATAATATCAAATCCTTAAAAGCCCCTTACAAGGGAATAACAGTTAATTGATCGTATTCTAGATATAACTAATGTACCAACAGATATATTTAAAACAAACAATAACAAAGAACGTGGCTAAACTGAAATGTATTTGCCTAATGAACTGAAGCGTCAGCGTGCTGTTGACCGCGTCCTGTGACTATAGTGGTTGAGAAGGGCTCTGACAGGTGTATACATTGCACACTGCAATGATTCCTGACAGCTGAATTGAGAGTGTAAATTTGTTAGAACAGCTTTGATGAGGTTTTCAGCTGCATCACCAGAGGTCAGTTTAATGAGTGATTATATCCCGATGTTCGACGTTCAAACGTTCAGATGTTCAGACCACGAGGTGACGGTGACGACAAACTTTGATTGACTTACAGTGAGAGAAAGTTAGCGATAGCTGAACACGTGTTGCTAAAATACTAGCCTACCGATACTGTCGGTTTCCAAATGTCCAACAAATGGTGTATATGGTGAAAATATTTCTACGGAACGAATTATGAAACCCGTGAAGATCAGGGTTAGAGTTGGTCTTCAGCAACCCATGCTTGTCGTGGGAGGCAACTACGTGATCGGGAACAGGCTTGCTGGCTTGGTTGACACATGTCATTGTATCCCAATTCTGTTGATCGATGCTCATGCTATTGATCACTGGAATGTCTGGTCAGGTCTCGATTATCTACAAACCGCCGCCATTTAGCTGGAATATTGCTGAGTGCGGCGTCAAACAACAAACACACACCCCGACGCGCGCCAAAACAAAACAAACAAAAAACGCAAACACACACACACACAACAACGAAATGTGAATGCATCGCTCACAAATTTAATGGAAACAGATATTTTGTAAAATGTATAATCAGGCAGCAAATTTGAAATTTTCACTTCACACAGTCTAATATCTAAAGATAACTGCTGTGTATGAAAGAGTAGAGATCTGTATAAGCATGGATAATATGACTTTAATGGTATTGCATATTGCGTTCTGCATGTTTTGCTGTGCTTTGTCTCGCCCTCTGTTTTTGAGTTGCTCCGCAGCGACCTATGCATGTATGTCGAACGTCGCGAGGTTTGGTCTATCTTTATCGTGTCATCGTATCCTGTCGAGGTAACACGATGTTCATAACATCATTCCCTTGTCCAGCCATCTCAAATCTAATACGTGTCACCGTCATTCTGCTTCAAACTTCTGACGGTTGCGTTGATATTTACTTTGTATAAAATCAGTTATATCAATTTCTCATCGCTGTATGGTATTACACACTGAATATGATACGTGGTAATGGTCACTAACTTCCAATAGGCGCCTGCTAAAACGTCATTAAATAAATTCTCAAAGACAGTTAAAACATTGCAGGTGAAGTTTATTCGCAAAGATTTACAAATATCAGGGAATAATGTATACATCATATATCTTCAGATTATTTTAAACTTGAATTGTTTGTCACTGTAAAGTAAAAGTAGACAACATTTACTCTTTGTCAGTGGTCACTGGGAGACAGCTCCACGTCATCAGTAACATGTCATCAGCGGTCGAAAGCATACAGGGGAATTTTTATTTTTTACCTATAGCGAGATGATATCAATCAGTATCAATTACTGACAGTCAGTGATCAAACAGGCATCAATATATTTGTGATAAGAATACACACGAAGTGACACACTACAAACTAATACAGAAACACCGAACAATTTAATTAACTAAACACCTCTAATCATAGCAGAATTTCCATTCTGTGTAATATATATATATTTCTACGAAAAACAGTTTAATGTGGTGACGACATCAGCTTAATTGCCAAGAAATGGACATTGTCTTATCCCTTATTCATTACAAATTTATGCTAAATGAGGATTTCAAACTGAAAACGAACTCGTCACAGGATGACGAAGAAAGTAAGAACAGTCATGCCCATTAGGTAAGCGGAAATCGTCACCGTACCTCCACCTGCAATAGAGATTGTATGAGGACAAATAATAACATTCGAATGTGGTGGAATTCGTACAAAGCAACAAAATCTTTTTCACATTCATAAGAAATATCTGGTTAAAGCAGAGTCTATTGCACTATGTAAATATATGACTCTCTGCGACTGTTAAGCTTGAATACACTTATGAATCATGCAAGACTAAGGCTTAATAAAAATGTTCATCATATTATCAGTTTAATGATGAAAGCCGCGACTTCATTCGAATTTCGGGTTAGTGAATTATTTTGTGGACTAGTAACTTTCAGGCATAGCTAGCCCGACTGGCTAGCAAAATTTTAAGACTATTTCGAACACTGAGCAATGTTCTACATGATACAGGCGGTAACATGTACACATCAATATACGAAATTGCATTAATTCATATCACTCGTGTGTTACATTTGGAAATGCTACGTGTCTACCTTAACATGTTGTAAAGCTTTAATGCCTGTCTACCTGATAATGTTTGGAAGCTTTAATACTGAGGCACTAAATGTAACTTTGATCAAACAACTTCGTGTCAAGAAAATGCTCGATTGTATCTAAAAAGTTGATACAAGTTGACAACAAAGATTGGAACTGATGGAATATTGCCGGCACAAAAGTTATTTTTGATTCGTATCATGTAAAAAGAATGTTTCCTTACCATTCTGACAGGTGTCCCCCGTGTAACCATCCGCACAGGAACACTTGGTGGGAGTGCTGCTTGTGTCACATGTTCCTCCATTGAGGCATTCATCCCCGTCCGCAGAACACACACCCGCTAAAGAAGGAGGAAAAACGAATTGTGACCATCTTATATCGTTCAATGTTGATCAGGTTAGTTTCAAGATGGATTCATAGGTTGCTATGTTGGTACACTTGCAGTTTTGGTGGATTTAATTGCTCACACGTTTTAATGGATCTGCTGGTCGATGTGCATTTGTAACGGTAGAAATGATAATTTCATTGTAATCTACGTTCGACAATGTTTAAGTTTGAATTATAACAGTGACTAGATTCCATTCTATTTTTCTTTTCAGAAGCTGGCTCTGCATGCTCCTATACAAGAAGCGTGATACTTTCGTTTGATATAGCATCAACATTAGACAAATCCAACTGGCATGCAACAACGTCAAAACGTTTACACTGTATACATTTACCTATGCAAGTTTTTCCATCTCCAGCGTAGCCATGCTTGCATGTACAGGTGAAGGACCCTTCAGTGTTTGTGCAGTCGGCGTTGGTATCACAGTCATCAGCATCGGTTGCGCACTCATCAATGTCTACCAAGAATGAAAACGAAAATGAAAAGAAATTACGGCTACCAATGAAGTTTATGTCATGGCGACGAGCAAATGCATTTTAGTGTATTGTTTCTCAGTTAAGTTCAATACAAAATTACACATCACTGTTAGTATATAGCGAACGAAAACACAAATGAAATATTTTATTGATGATTTCTACTACTAAGAATAAAATAGAAGACGTATTTATATATAGTACTTACCTCTTTCACAAAGGCTACCAGTATATCCATCTGCACATTGACATGTACTAGCAGTCCCGTCTGATGGGATATTACATGTTCCACCATTTAAACATTCGTTGCCATCTGCGGAACACACGCCAGCTAAAACAAAAAGAAATGTGCAATCATTTTATTATTGCAAATGCTTTTTGAAAGGATTCAAAACATATACTCAATATCGGAATATATTCCATTTCCACATTCAATAACCAGGAGCTTGTCTATATTCAACTATATTATTTACTTCACCACAGCAACTGTATGAACGACAGAGATTAATGGACCCAACATGTCATGACAGGGACGAAAGTACTTTACCTCTACAGAATGTTTGGTTTGACAAATAACACTGATACTCAATATATATTTACGTGTGCAACAAAATCATATAGTCTTAGTACTTACACACTGACCATCATATTTTACAATGACTTGACTTTTTGCGCTTTTTCCATTTTTTGCTCAGAGCAACAATCATACAATTACTGCACTCGTTCTCATAAAATTATGTCTCTATTCCATCGGGAATACATTTAACAATCTCGTGCATGGTTAATAATAAATTTCTGTGACTGAACTACTGATACGTGATACTAAGCTACTACAGCGTTTGTAATTGTACAACAAGGAGAGTTCTATGGAAATACAAGTTCTTAATATTAATATTGGCGACGTTTCGGTGTAGCTACTAACACCGATATCAAGCAAGTGATTTTCTCTTTGTTCATCACACCAACCTCTAAACGTCACTCAAAGAAGTTTTGTAATTGTGTCTGGGCATTACCTTTGCTACATTACAATTCTTAAGGAAGAGAATGTCAAATTCTTTATTATGAGGAACACAATTTCAGAGTATGTCCCTACTCCTTTATCAGACGAATGAATGGTATGGGGCAGAGAACATATATCTTCCTTGTGTGGATCACTTCTAAATGCCATTCAAAGACCTCATTACAGTTCTTGTACTCATCCAAAAGTTCTCTTTTAGTTGATTCTATGTGCGTTCCCGTCGTTCAGTCATATACATGGAGTTGCCTAGTTTCGTTTCACAGAACACAAAATTTAAGCAAACCTTGAGATGCTACAATAACAGCAATTTACAAAACCGTGTATGCATTTACCTATGCAGGTCTTTCCATCTCCAGCATAGTTAGGCTTGCACGCGCAGGTGAAGGACCCGTCAGTGTTTGTGCAGTCGGCGTTGGTATCACAGTCATGATCACCTTCTGTGCACTCATCAATGTCTACCAAGAATGAACACGAAAATGAAACGATTTTACTTCTCATAATGAAGTTTATGTGATGAAAAAAACATTTTTGATTTTCTGCTTCCCAGTAAAGTTGAAGACAAACGTATACGTCACTGCGAAGTATTTGAGTTACTAAAAAATGCAGGCGCGCTCTATCGTAACACCCCACACATCAATATTCCATGTGCCATCTGTTTGAATCGGGACCAGTCAGACCTACCACTGACATCATTCACATCAGTATATGAGTTTGGAATACATTTATGTACACCAGTTATCTCACCGAGCGTAGCCTTCCTATCCCGCTAGTGGCTTCATTTTACAATTATAGGCTGCTGGAGACGAAATCTTACCCGGATAGTCGTCTGGTACAAAATGTTGTTGTGACAGCATCATATGATCGTTATCTGTACCTACGTATTTTTTTTTAATTACATGAGTGGGGATTTCTTACTCATACTAGTAAATTATTTCTTTGACTTACCAGTTTGGCACGTTTCACCCTCATATCCAGTACCGGTACAGTCACACTTGGAAGTGGCTGAGTCGCATTTTCCGCCATTAAGACACTGATTGTCACCCGAACAAGTTCCATAAACGCAATCGAAAACTGCCCAGCATGACAAAACTGAGAAAGCAGAAACGGACATAACATATATAATTACCATTTCTACTGCTAAATAATTTAAATCTTAAATGTTAACTTTACACTTATCGTTACGCAGTGAAACGGGAGTAACTTTTCATAGCTGTTAACTTACGCAGTAAAGGTAGCAAAAGTGGAACTCTGAATAGCTGCATTTCTTTAACCGCTTTAAATTTTGTCCTCTGTTTAATGTCTACTGCGCGTTTGTCCATATATACCATTACGTAGTCATAGTGACCAACGTGTATTGACAACAGTCGAGAGGGTAAAATAAGTGCTGCGACTTGAAAATATAGACCGAGATTCTATGCTAAACTTGTTGCTACATGCAGTGCAATAACAATCAAAGGCCCGTTCAATCAATAATAAGGTCATATCAAATATTCTTCGAAATACAGACAGAGACTGCAAGCTGCAAATTGTCAAGATGCAATGAACTACCAAGACTATGCAAATTAAAAATACATAAATCAAATCTCAAAGATAATAAATGAGAATAAGTTGATTCAGTTACGACTCAACGTATGTCAAAGGAGTTAAGATGGATAACTGGGGTTTCCTATGAATACAAGTGTTATGATTATGTATACCTGAGATGGTTCCATTGCCCTGCTGTCAGTTATGTTGTCGCTGGCTGTCCATCTGTCCTCATGCAAGTTTTAACACAATATCTGTTGAATTTTCGTGGAAAGATGGGCTGTTTTGTGAGTTATGTAACATAATTGCATGGTATTTAAACTGACGATGTACTTAATTGACTATGATGTCTTTCCACAACAAGAACATAAAATGATAAAACCATAAAAGAATTGCAAATCTTTGTACCGATATTTGTAGATTTGGATCCATAAACACAATCGCATGACAAAGCTGTCACATCCACTTGTCATCCACAATCTGGACACCCAACCTGAAAGATGCGTTGCTGTTCCAACGGACAACGTCTCAAATATACTCATGCCAATAATGGTTGTCAGCCCCTCCTCACCCCAACCCAACCCCCCACACACCTACTCTCCAATTAAAAAAAATTGAAGTGGGTAAACATATTGGCATGAGTATATAATCAAACAAGATAAATATATCAAATCTTACCATATATGTCTACGATGAAGAAATCTGCCACCATACATTCGTACTATCAAGTTTTTACTTAAAACCTAATGACGTCCATTTAACTTGAAAATATACTAACAGCCAAAAGAAAGAAACATAAATATAAATTAATTGTAATGAAAAGTAGTTTTAGCTCTGTTGTCTCTCCTCTCCGGCGGTCTTCCATCAGCTTTGAATAAGGCGAACCTGCTCTCGTCACTGAAGACGATCCTCTGCCAGTCACGTCGCTGCCAACGACGTACAGGTCGGGCCCATGTCAGTCTCCGACGACGATGTTCAGCGGCCAGTAAGTGTCCTAGTAGTGATCAGAAAGTAAGATTCTTTATGGATAACAACTTCTTTTATTTTATATGATGCGACGTTTCGGTATGGATTCTTACAGTGAGTGTACCGTGGTCACGCAAGAGTGAAGTACTTCAGCACAGAACATACTTATATACATCAAGAGGGATTAAGTAATAACAACATGTATGTATGAATCAAGAGAATTAACAACAACAACAAGGCACGGTGGTAATGATGTAGTGACAATAGGAGGAAGCCAATGATCCTTGAGGCAGAAACAAAATATGCATGGCTGATGAGATTAATTAGCAATGATAGCTGGAGTGCTTTAATCTGTTGTTTTTATCAATTCATTGTATGCAGAAGGGATGAGATATCTCTGGTCTCTGTTGATTGAGGGCTTGTGATCACAAAAATAATATGTTTTGGAGATTCCACCCCATGCTACTTCAACCTTTCTCTGATACAGATAAAAGGTGTTTTGGCAGTGATTCATGTACACGTGTTTTGTTACAGTCGAAGACAAATATACATTTTTAAGTCATATGTCACTGGACCACTAGCCCGACAAAAAATCTTCAAAATCATACAAGCAATACATTAACAAGTAAAAATATACCTATCAGAGGCAAGCAATTCAGCAAACATATCGATAGTCTAAATAGTGTTTCAATTATAGTGGATTGATATAAACAGGGAAAATGATGAACAGCTGTCTCATGTTGATTATGTATCTAAATAACACTGACACACGCTATCGTAACAACACCGTGTTCTTTTGAATAAATTGTTGAAATAAAATTAACACATGTTTAGGCAATGTACCTTCTATATGTCCTAAAATAGGAAAAGACTTTGACATACGTGGTATCAGCTTGTGCATACACAGCTTATGAAATCAAGTGTCAAGCCTGGTTGGCATTGAGGTGCACTTCAAATGAACTATTCCTAAAGACCTTAGTGCATGGAAGCAAGATTTATAGTCGTTGAAAAAAGGTAACAGGTCTTAGTTTGCAAACACCATGGGATTGTCAGTGCACGAGGTAATTCACAAACGGTAATAAAACAACCCAGTCCGACACCTCTAATCTCCTGATACTCTTCAAAACTGTAGTTATCTGTCACGCCTGGTATCTTGTAAGTTATGAACTTACTGTAAGCACGCCTTGCTACGCATGGAGAAAGGTTCATTGAGGACATATGGGGATATCGCATCCTAATTAAACTCACTGATCAAAAAAAATTCTTTAAATTCTTTCACAAAACATAACAATTGTCATGAAAATGAAAAATGAAATGTCAAAACACAACAATTGCCATATAAATGAAAACAAAATTCAAAATGTCAGAAGAGACTATACCGTCATCGTTGTACTCATAAAGTTGCAAGAATGAAACAATCAGAACAATCATATCCTTCAGATTGGTTTCTGGTGATGCGG